TTGATGATGTGGCCGCAGGACTCAGTACTGAAAGTGCGTTCACATTCTACTCTCCCTGCAACAAGTTCTGACCTCTTGATGAGCAGCTCTTCGAAAATGGGTCGTCGACACCCCTGCACTCGTCCACTCACGATCCCAGCCCTCAAAACGCAAGAATGCTTCTTCGACAACGGCCAAAACTGCTGCACCTGCCAAGAAAGCGAAAAAAAACTAGAACTATCTGCGACTCGGACTCCGACACCCCCGACCCTCCCCCAGAGGCCCCCCTTTCGTTTACTATCTATATCAACATCCCAAAGAAACAGCCCGCGACCACTGGACGCTCTCGCAGAGCCCCTGCCCCCGAAGAAGTACCATTTGGCCCATTCACCCTTCTTGCGACCGACACCTATGCCGACTTCATTACCAAACTTGCTGAGACCTTACCCTGCCTCCCGGAAAACATCCACCAGACGAAGATTCAATGGAAGGCGAAGATCCCCAAGAACTCGCAGATCGTTCCGCTCGGGAAGGAGCCTGGCTACGACGCCATGGTCACGGAGATGTCCGCCAAGAAAGCTGGCAGCCGTGGCATCATTCTGACGATGCCTGCGCCTGCGGAACCGATGGAGGAGGTGGTCGTAGTGAAAGGCACGGGTTTTGGTAAACCCGCGGTATTACGGGTACGGGTAACCAATACAAACGTTGCGGGGGAGGCGGTCCAGAAGTTCGACTACTCCCAGTCGAGGCAACAGGTCCAGCTGACTTGATACACCAACAGCAGGTGCATTGCGCATAAATTCGCCCCGGATTGAGTCATTCACCTGTTCCCACAGATAACCTTCAACAAAGCGACCAAGGAGGAGCACATACTTCTCGAAGAATGTTACCCCATCAGCAACTACCCCCCCAGATCGACCCAAACAAGCGCATTTACTTCAATCCCAAGACCGGCTTTTACTATGATTTGAATGCAAGTAGGATCGGAGTCTGGTGTAGCGCGATGGTTCTTCCTGGCCCTATTGTTTACCCATGAGCTGACATGATTCCACGCAGGCGCAGAAGGAGACCGACGGTGAGACACCGCCGCTTGCGTCGCGTTTCTTCGATGCAAGTCAGCGCATAAAGTACATTCCTGGCGTCAATGCGGTGACTCCTCCTGCTCCTCCCGCACCCGTACCCGCATGCGCTCCTGCTCCTGCTCCTGCACCCACACCCGCTCTTTCACTCAGTGATTTATTGATGGCATCGATTCTCACCAACGGCGGCGGTGGCGGCGGCCTTGCTGCGCTTTTTCCACAATTCAATGCCGTTCCCGCTCCAGCCTTAGCACGCCCGCCTCCGCCTACCCAGCCCAAGTCGGCACCTCCATCCCCCGTGAAACGGCACTCCGTATCTGTTGATCAATTCTGCGAAGAGTACAACATCGACGACGTCGATTGCGTTCGCCTCAAGGAGGTTGGATTCCGCCCTGGAGATGCCACACAACCCGAGCGCGACGGTGACCTACAGAATGCCGGCTTCACGCTCTTCGGCTGGCGTCGTATACACAACGCGAACGTCCGGTTCAAGGCAGATCTTGGTGCGGAAAAATTCAATGCATAGGTTGTCGTCATTCTCTCTGTTATCCCTTGCATTTCATTTGTTCTTTACACACAAATCATAGCTTTCGTATTCTGTCCACTCTGTAGCCCCTCTGTAGCCTCTTCGTAGCTTTACCAAATGTAACCCGCATGCTTGAACCAACCGACTGCCATCTCCGCTGTAATACAAGCTGTCGACTCCAAAAGCGCAAGGAAGGGATCGTCCTCTTGGTCAATTGTACAACCATGGCGGCAAAGATGTGCTTTCCCTGGAAGGATCAACTACATGAGCCAATAGACAACAGGAAGGGAGTGGAGGTACTCACACATCGAAAAGGACTCCTCTATCGGATTGAAGTCCGGGGAGTAGGCCGGCAGGAACAGAATCATAACTCCTGATCGTTGTGAGGTCGCGGTAGAGAGAGAGATTCAATGACTCACCATGTTCATTCAGGACCTCGTGCAGGAGCTCCGTGTGATGGATCCGGCAATTGTCAAGGATGAGGACGCTTTGGACATCTGGATTATATATGGCTTCATGTGTGGCAACTGTGAGAGAATTAGGCCATTGAGATAGAAAACAAGAGCCACTGACGACATCCTCGACGATGAAGTCAAAGAACTCATATGCGTCCATAGAACCCAAAACAATCCGCGTGGCAATGTATCCCTCCAGACTCAAGGCGGCAGTAAGGGTGTACCGGTCCGCTTGGACCCAGGCTTCGGAGGATTCCGCCCGTTGACCAAGAGGGGAGCGTCCATAATTTCTCGAGGTAGTGCGGGCGTCCTTACTTGATTCATCAACTGCCACAAACTCCAGCCCGGTGCCCGAGAAATTGTCGGGATCACGAATGCATGCCCAATATTCTTGTCTCTGCACCTCGTCGCGCTCACAGGCGACCTTTGAAGGACCTTACGGGTCAGTCCGGCACGTGCAAGCGTTGCTTGAAGGGCTGAGATGGAGATGACGATGTCGTGATGGATCGCGAGATGCCAAGCCAGCTCGTCGAGCATAATGGTGGGGTCATGGAAGAAGACTTGGTGGGTGGCTGTAAGAACTGCCAGACTGATGATGCGGTCGCGTCCACGCAATACAGAGGGAGGCTTCGTAGATTGGCCAAACTCCTCGAATATGTCCCGCCATCAATAGAGGCTTCGTCGAGAGATGCGGAGAGCGTGGCAGATGTCTTCAGTCTCCCAGCCGGCATTCCAGAGGCGTAGGGCACAGTCCTTGAGGTCGGAGCTAATGCAACGGTTGCCCATGGCATGAGGATAACGCACAGGAAGGCGAAAGCAGCCAATTTCCTTTTTGGGAATCGCGCCAAAAAAAAAAATGATGATTGCCATTATTTACAGGAAATGCAGTAAAGAGCGCGTGTTACCGTAACACCAAGAGCACGACACAAATTTGTACCAAAAACAGCATGCATGCCCTTTGTCTCCAAAATGTGTTTGTTTGTGAAGCTCTGTTTTGAATCATAAGCAGAAAAGGAATGTATCTTGCAGCAACTTGAACAAGTAAAAGGAGTACTCAACTTGAATCCGGCACCAAAATTCAAAAGGCTTAGGCCAGGCGCCCCCCGGGAGTTGAACCCAGGATCACTCGAATTGGATGAAAATAGTGAGCGTGTGTTACCGTTACACCAAGAGCGCGACGCAGACAATCACCAATATATGCATGAGGCATTGTTTCCAAAATGTTTGTGTGTTCGTCTCCTGACTTGAAGCTCGACATCTGTTTTGAATCATAAGAAGAGGGTGAAGAGAAATGTACTAGTTCTATGACCAAAATTAAATGTTATAATTATCTAGTCAGGCAAAAAAACGTAGTCAGGCAAAAAAACAATTTCAGAGTCTTTGCGTCAGGCGCCCCCCAGGAAACCCAGGACCGCTCCAAGAGCGCGTGTTACCGTTACACCAAGAGCACAATTAGAGTGGGTGTTGAGATTGGGATGAGGCGTGAGATGGTATTACGTGCCGACATTCATTCATGCATTGAGATGAAGCACTGGCTCTGTTTTGAGTTTATGTGCATTCAATGCAATCCGCACGAAGAGGAAGGAATGAATGAAGTGCCAGTGCGTGAACGGAAGAAGAAAGCAAAAATCCCGAGAGAACAATGAATGTGTGTTACCGTTACACCAAGAGCGCGACGCAGACAACCTCCAACATATGCATGAGGTATTGTTTCCAAAATTTGTCTCCTGAGCTTTTGGAAGCATGTGTGCACGTGAAGACCAAACACCCCGCATGAAGCAAGGAAAATGCCGGAGTGCTTGAGCGGTTGTTCAGTTCTATGACCAAAATTAAATGTTAGTCGGTCAAAATACTGTACCATTTCGACCAAAGGTTCAGGTGATGGGTGACAACCACCCGTGAACTGAACAATTTTGGCAGTGGTGACAGGTGACACAGCCCAATGAACCCTTATTTTTTAAAGCCTTCTAACAGTGCAAAAACGCGTTTTTATGCTAATCTAAGTTTGACAAAAAAACCGGAAAGAAATTTGAGAAAAAAATTTAGTACCCCTCCCAAGCAGGTCCATGGTAGCGCCGTGCAGTGATTTGACGATGCTGGCCACGGCCGAGGGCAGCTGGCTCTGCAGTATCCACAGCGGGAAGTGCGTCACAACACCATCCAGACGACTATACACTATTGACTGTGATCCATGACGGCTACAGGCAAGGAGTTTGTGTACGGTCTTCCTGTCCGGAATGGCAAGACGCCGTGCGCGAATCAGTAGATTTTTGTCGGTGATGTTCGGAGCGTCCGAGCTGAAGAACTGGGCGGGTTGGGTGGCCAGAGCAGTGGTGGTTTGAAGGGGAAGCTAGGGGAAGGGGAAACTCCAGCATTTTTGCGATGGACAGGGACGCGGATGAGAGAAGTTCGTGTTCCAATTCCTGGGGGATGGTGAAGAACTCCGCCCCGAGCTTTCGGATGTTGGGCGGAACTGTTGCCCAGGTCCATTTTTTGGGAAGATCGCTAGTGTTCATTGTGGGAGGGAGAATGCTGATATTATTTTTCCCCCTGATGCTACACTTAAGTAACAACGACTCCGTACCAAAACCGGCGCCTCCCGGTTTCACAGTCCTCTCCTGGTTACTTATGAAGCGAACACTGAGCAATTAACCGGTACACAAGTACACGAAAATCACCCCGAAGGCGAAAGAAGCATGTTTTCTTGATATTATGGTGACTTCTCCAGCTCCATAGCTCCTCGATTCCGTTACCAAGCAATGATTTCAGGCCTGTGGCAGCCTGTGGCCTCCTGTGGCGCATCTTGACGCGTCATGGCGGGCCCAATGACCCAGTGAACATTTGTGGACCCGGTGACACCCTTGGGCCGGTTTTGAACACCTTATCCAGTGAACAATTGCGGTGACGGGTGACACCCCGTGAACCTTTGGTCGAAATGATACAGTACCTTGACCACATGGAGGCGCCCTCCGGGAGTCGAACCCGGGACCACCCCTTTTGAACGAAAGGGCGAATGTTACCGTTACACTCAGAGCGCAACACATATGTGCACCAAAAACAGTATGAATGCTGTTCGTCTTCAAAATGGCTTTGTTTGTCTCCTGAGTTGAAGCTCTTATAAGAAGAGGGTGAAGGATGCAGACGAAAAAGGAATGTATTAGTTCTATGACGAAAGTTAGATGTTATACGTGTATAGTCAGGCAAAAGGATCTCACCATCGACCAGGCGCCCTCGGGAGTCGAACCCGAGGCCACTCGAATGTGTGTTACCGTTACACCAGGAGCACAATTAGGGTGTGTGCCGAGATTGGGGTGAGGTGTGATTGTTGTTACAATTGTTATGAATAACCAGCCTGTCGACATTTATTTGTTGACCCGGCTCTGTTTTGTATTTATCTGCAATCTGGAGGAGGCATGAAGGGAAGGGAGTGTGAACGGAAGAAGAAGAAAGCAAAAAATTCACAGTACACATTGTAGGCGCCCCCCCGGGAGTCGAACCCGGGACCACTCGAATCCAATAGGAACAGTGAGTGTGTGTTACCGTTACACCAAGAGCACAATCCAGATAGGTGCCCAGATTGCAATGAGGTGCTCACTGTTGTTGCGTGCCGACATTCATTTATTGAGGTGAAGCACCGGCTCTGTTTTGAATTTATGTGTAATCCGGACGAAGAGGACGGATGAATGAAGTGCGAACGGAAGAAGAAATAAAAATAAAAATAAAATAAAAACAAAAAACAAAAACACACCGGGGACCCTAGGCGCCCCCCGGGAGTCGAACCCGGGACCACTCGGTTTCGATGGAAGTAGTGAGTGTGTGTTACCGTTACACCAAGAGCGCGACACAGACAACCACCAACATATGCATGAGGCATTGTTTCCAAAATGTTTGTGTGTTCGTCTCCTGACTTGAAGCTCTAGATCTATTTTGAATCATAAGAAGAGGGCAAAAAGGAATGTATTAAGTCTATGTCCAAAATTGAATGTCATCTAGCCCGGCAAAAAATTTCGAACGAGTTGGTTAGGCGCCCCCCGGGAGTCGAACCCAGGACCGCTCCAGGAGCGTGTGTTACCGTTACACCAAGAGCACGATCAGGATGGGTCCCGAAAGTGGGATGAGCTGTTGCCTGCCGACATGTATTGAGTTGACTCCCAGCTCTGTGTTCAATTTTATGTGCAATGCGGACGAAGAGGAAGGAATGAAGTGGGTGAACGGAAGAAGAAAGCAAAACAACCCAAAAACCAAAAAAAAAAAAAAAAACAAAAAAACACACCGGGGACCCTAGGCGCCCTCCGGGAGTCGAACCCGGGACCACTCGTCTCGATAGAAGTAGAGTGCGTGTGTTACCGTTACACCAAGAGCGCGACACAGACAATCACCAACATATGCATGAGGTACTTTCCAAATTTGTCTCCTGAGTTTTTGGAAGCCGTGAAGACCAAAAACACCCCGCATGAAGCAAGGAAAAAGCCGAAGTGCTTGAGCGGTTGTTCAGTTCTATGACCAAAATTAAATGTTAGTCGGGCAAAATACCTTGACCACATGGAGGCGCCCTCCGGGAGTCGAACCCGGGACCACTCGTTTCGAGAGAAGTAGAGTGCGTGTGTTACCGTTACACCAAGGGCGCGATGGTGACTGGAGGAGAAAGAGTAATCATGATGGAGTGGTGCTGGTGACGAGCTGCGCTGTGTTGCCGTTACACCAAGAGCGCGACGGTGATGATGTTCTAGTGCCAGTCCCTCGGGCGCTGGCAGTTCACCGATCAGTGTAGGGGCGGAATTAGCATCGTGCGGGCGGGCGGGCGGAACCGGAACGGCAACAGGACTTGGCAGCGGGGAACTCAGCAGCGTGCCACGAGGCAATTGATTCTTGAACGCGATGAGGCGGGATGTGATTGGCGGGCGCAAGGAGTTGTTGATCGAGTGGGGGGGACCCCGGGGAGCGCGGCGCTTCCTGCTTCTTTGGCGGCGATGTCATGGTGTGTGTGGTTTGGAGACTCTCAGTCTGCGAGGAGCTCCACTGCGGGGACAACAACACGGAGTGAAGCACCCACCGACCCCCTGTTCTGTTTTGGGTCGGGACACAAAAAGGCGGAAGGCGGAAGGCGCCGATCACTCCTATCGGGTGACACTACGGCCGCGCTAACTCCGTGATGCGTTCGCCACGCGGGGACACGGGCGCAGATCGATTCGGTTCGGGTTGTTGGGAGAGGCAGGGTGGGTGAAAAGAAGCGCACGCACGCAGCGGCGGGGCGCAGGCTGCCGTGATCCAGAGCGTGCTTAAAAGCCGAGGACCCGCACCCACGCACGCGCTTGCGCTTCCCGTCCCCCGTCCCCTCCTCACGTCCACCTATAAGTGCTACTCTCGCTCGCGCCGAATAACCGGTCGCGCGAATACTACGGTACGGCCCCCGCCGTCCCCTATATAAATCCGGCTCACTGTCGTCCTCGTCGTCGACCCAGAAAACACATACGCATACGCATAGTACGCGCCATCGCCAGATCAAAAATCGCGTACAACCGCACGCGTGCCGCCACATTCCCCGGCCGCCCGACGCCGCCGTCGCTTACCTCCGCCGACGTGTTTCTGGAAGAATCCGCGCTTCTTGCATTCTTGTAACCTGACGGCCTCGGTCATCTGCCTCTTGTTCTTCTGCGCGCACCCCTGAATTGACTGAAGAGTGAAGACGCTCCTGCTGCTAGACGATAACGATGGAGACCGAGAGCGAGGCGCCGCCTATAGCCACCCTGCCGGGCTCTTCTGAATCCACTTCCATTGACACTGCTAAACAAAATACTACCACCGCTACCACGACCCAGGACGTGCCCATGCCCGACTCCGTCCCTGCGAAGCCCTCTGCCGCCACAGCCCCCTCCGAGTCCGAAGGTGTTCCATCGACCAAGACGGACGCGGCCCCTGCGTCGACCCCGACCTTCACCCTGACACTCCCCGCCTCGCCGTCGTCCGTGCCAACCCCAGCGTGCGTGTCTTTCGTTCTGTCCTGCCCTCGTTCGCCTGCCGCGTCTCGCTTCTCCTTCCTCTCTTGATTCACTCATACTGACACTATCGATCCCGTAGTACCGCAAACGCAAACGCACCCACCACCGCCTCCCAGCTCGCCACCCTCCTCGCCACCGCGCTCGCCTCCGCCGACGCCCTCCGCGACGAGCTGGGCGCCGCGACGAAGCGCGCCGAGCGGGCGGAGCGCCTGCTGGGCATGGTGGGCGTCGTGGTGGGCGCCGGGGGCGAGCTGGGCGTCGCTCCCACTTCCACTTCCACGAATTCCACCACCGCCGACGCAGGCGACGCGTCCATGCCCGCCGCCTCAGCCCCCACCTCCGACCCCTCCGACCCCGCGCCCGCATCCTCCTCGTCCTCGACCGACCCCGACCCCGCGCTCCCCCTCCCCCCCGCCGTCCTGCACAACCTCCTCGCCCTCTCCACCCGCACCGCGGACCTCTCCGCGCAGTACGCCTCCGCGCTCCTCGCCGCCGACACGGCGCGCGAGGCGGCCGAGCGCGCGCGCGACGAGGCGCTGGCGCGGCTCGCGCTGGTGCAGAGCAACTGGGCGCAGCTGGACGCGTACCTGGGCGTCGTGGAGAGCCGCGGGCGCGACGCGCGCGGGGGCATGGGGCGCGTCGTCGCGTCCGGGTCCGGGGCGCTGGCGTCGAGCTACGCGCCGTTCGCGGGGGACGGAAAAGACGCGCGCGGGGGCGAGGCGGGCGGGAAGCTCGTCCTGCTCGACGTGCCGCACATCGCCACCACCACCTATGCGGGGGGGCCGGGGCCGGGGTCGGGGTCGGCCTACCCCGCGCCGTTCCCGCTGGCGGCGTACCCCTATGCGCCCGCGCCGCACTATTATGCGGGCGAGCGCGAGCGGGAGGCGCGAAGGCGGTTGCGCGATAGGGATAGGGAGAGGGACGCGTTTGGGGGGCTGCCGCTGCCGCCGCTGCCTAGCGCCAACGCTGCTTCCACCACCACCACCCATACTGCCTCCAACGCTGCGAATAACAACAACAGCAACAGCGGAGGACACAACGGCAACGGGCGCCGTCCGCGCACGGAGAGCATGGAGCTGGGGTATAGGGAGGGGGGGGAGCGGAAGCGGGCGCGGGTGGCGATGGAGGGGGAGTGGAGGGATGATGTAAGTGTTCGTTGGGTTGGGTTTCTTTTTTTCGTTTTTCTTCAAGGAGGAGCGAGGTTTTTTTGGCGGGGGGGAGGGGTCGTTTTTTTGGCGGAGGCACGTTTCCCTTCTTCTTCGAGGACGGGTTTCGCTGCGAGGCGCCGTGCCGCTGGATTGGCTTTGGCTCTCTGGTGACGTGCGCGTGGGAGGGTGGACTCCGCCCCCACCCCACCGTGTGTGCGCGCAGCGCCGTCTTCCATGCGCGGTTGTGATGCCGTCTGCGCACGCTGGTGTCTCCGTGTCTCCGTCCGCGGACGGGGTGCGTGCGACGCGGTGTGGTGGTGCAGGACGCAGGACATGCGTCGTGTTGCGGGTGTGCCGTCGACAGGCAGGGAGGGTCGCGGGTCGCGGGTCGCCATCCTTTGCCTTTCTCTTGACAGACATGCCCGTGATTCATCCTGACCGCGCAGTCCTCCTGGTGTCGAGCGGCGGTCTCTTCGTTTCGCAGTTGCCCGCGGGCGCGGATAGTTGCCGCGCGGATACCATACCGTCCACGCGCATTCATTCCACCGCTGGCTGATGTCTTCTTCCATTTTCGCTCGCCTCTCTCGATTCGTTCGTCTTACTGACACCTATTCTTTCAATATTGCAGTACCACCCCACCGCCACCGCCAACGCCAACCCAAACGCCCCATACTACCCCGTCTCCGTCTCCGTCCCCGCGCGGTACCCCCCCGCGGGCCTCCCACCGCCCGCGGGCTCCGCTTCTTCACGCCGACGCACGCCCGAGCGCGGGCACACGCGGCAGCACACGCTCGACGCGCACGCCCCGCACCACGCGCAACACCACGCGCATCGCAGGCACAGCGGGGACGGCGCCGGCGACGGCGGGGGAAGGGGGGGAGGGGGGCGGGACAGGTCCCCGAGCACGGCGTCGGACGACCTCGACGCGATGCTGCTCGAGAGCGCGAACGCGTCGCCGCGGCCGCACGCGCACCCCGCGTCTGCCCACCACGTGCATCCCGCGCACCAGGCGCACGGGCAGAGTGGCGGCGGGGCGGCGCAGGGGCAGGGGCAGGGGCGCTCGCCGGAGTGGGCGCTGCGCGCGGGTGCGGGCGCGGGGGACGCCGCCGGGGCGGGGGTGGTGCAGCAGGCACAGCAGCCGGGGAGGGCGGGGAGTGTGGGCGGGGGGGTGTACGCTGCTGGGAGTGCGGCGCCACAGGCGCAAGCGCAGGCGACGCCGGGGCGCAAGGGGACGGGCACGGGTGTGGGTGTGGGGGCGGGTGTGGGTGTGGGGGTGCCGGTGGGCGCCGTGGTACGTCCTTTCTTCATTATTATTATTTTTTTTCGATTATTGCGTGCGGATTTGGGCCGATTTTCCTAATCCGGTCTCGCCTCGCCTTTCGCCTCCCCTCTTTCTTCCTCCGTTTCGTGAGATACGCCGCTTACACCTCGTTTCGCAGACGCCCGCGAGCTCCCCCTTCCCCGCGACCAACGCGCAGAACCAGCGGATCTGCAGACAGTGTGGGTTGCCGGGGCGGTATAAGGTGCGTTTTTGCGTTTTTGCGTTCGTTTCCTTTCTCCTACCACTTTCTCCCACTTTGCACTTTGTGCTTGGTGCTTGCTCTGTTCGCGTACTTCTACGTCCGCGGAGATGTACACGCAGAAACACGCGTTCTTTTGTTTTGTTTTGGAATAAAACGCGGAAGGCTGGATCAAGGCTGATTATTGACTGAAACGTTACAGGAGGGCAAGTGCGTAGAGAAATGGGGGCCGGGGCCGTTGGGGCCTGGCACGGTGTGTGATCGGTGAGTGCCCTCGTTGGGAGATGCATGCATGTTCGAGCTCGAGCCAACAACCTCTTCTTTTTTTGGTAGATGTCGCAAAAAGATGAAGCGCGTCGAGCGCCGCGGGACGCTCGAGCAGCAGATGGCGCAGTCGCAGAACGCTGCTGCCGCCGCCGCCGGTGCGTACCCCCCTCCTTCTCTTCTTTTTCAAAAAAAAATAATCACAAATACTAATTCGTGCGCAGCGGCCACACCCACGGCCACACCCAGCTCCTCCTTCCGCACCGCGAATGCGCCGATCCACCGCACGGACACGCTCCCCCCCTCCGCGCCCCCCTCCGCATCTGCGTCCACGGCGCACGCGGGCTTGGCGCCGGGCACGGCCTACCGCGAGCGCGAGCCGCCGCAGGAGTCGAGCATGCGGTCGTCCCTCAACACTAATCCGTCGCCTGCGCATGCGTCTTCGTCGCACAACGGAGGGCAGGTGGCGAACGCGGGGCGCGTGATCAAGAGCCGGCTGACGCTCATCCCGCCCGCGCCGCCGCCCGCGCATTCCGCCTCCTCGTCGCATGGCGGGCGCGCGCACCACGCACACGCACACGCGGAGCACGCGCACGCACATGGGCACGCGCCGAACCTGCTCCCGCCGCTGCGGACGCACTCGCCCATGGAGGTCGACGGGGAGGGGGAGCACGATGCGGACGCGGACGTGGACGG